GATAAATTTCGTGAAGTGCAAAGCTTGAGATGGAACCTTTTACGAGCATTACAGAAGATTTGTGAATTAAGTTTAGGCTAGCGGCATTGCATAAGTAGTTCTGGTTACTTTCGTTTCAAACATCCTTGAACTCTTCTTCTTCTAGCCGATCCCTTAAGCTAGATAGTCCAAGTTTAAGCTAGTGTAATATAAGAAAATAATGAATTTGTCGTACTAGTGATATAAAAGTTTGTCTAACTTTAAAGAACCCTCCATTTCATGGCAAGCTATAGCAGACACGAAGTAATGAGTAGCAGAGTAAGTGAAATTAGCATCGCTTTCTATTAAAATAGGGCTTTTAATATGCAAGTTTCTTGTTATTATCACATTTAAAGAGTAACGTTGATTGTCTAAATACTTCGATTCACAAGGAATAATTTGACTCACAAGGGGCCTATTAAAACAAAAGCAAATAATTGACAAAACGATTTAATATAGAAAATAAAATATTCTTACAATTTGAATTGTTCTGAGCCATTTTCAGGAATAACTTCAGGCGAATGTGTCCTTGGCGCACTTGCTTCTCTATAAGGCTTTGATGTATAATTTCAACTTGATCTTCATTTTGTAAAGTTATATTCTCTATAATTTCCGTCGTATCTTCGGGCTTTATTGATAGATCTTGGTTAACGGCATCTTCTAGTTGATTAGATGACAATGGTTCTATAACCTCAGTTGGAAGAAGCCATTCTTGTGACATTGAATGGTTGTCTGAACGACGGGTTCTCAAAACGGTCTTAGCCAAATGCTATCAAAATTTGAAAAATTCAAAAATATAGCAAATATATATATATATATACACACATTTACGAAATGTGCTAATTATCTGGCTACTAAATAATAATAGCCTTAAAATTGTAGCATAAAAAATAATATTATATAAACAAGTAAAAATTATTTTTATAATATTTAATATAGGCCAGCAATGTATGAAATTTCAATAGACAGTTCTCAGGAAAAGGATATACTAAGCTAAATGCAACTTATAATTCGCCACTCTTTGTATGGTTTATCATTAGTCACTAATATACAATTCAGATCAAAGTTTTAAGTACTGGGCCTTCGCATTAAGTTGCAATAGAAAAAGTAAGTCTCATATATATGAGATGTATTCACTCTTTTTTGTTTTAAGATAATAAGGAGACTGGTAATTGGGTAGAACTTAGGTTTCCAATGAAATTCACGTAGCTTTGCTTCTACAGATTTTGTTTCATCCAAGATGTACTAACGTTTCGATCTTGACTAGGCCTCATCAGCATCATCAGCGAGGTTTGAACCATGATAGTGTAGCGTATAGTCTCTACACGTTAGCTATTAGGCATTATGGCCATGACTTTCTTTTGGTCACTAGGCAGATGTGAAATTCAAGTAAGGCCAAGTCCTTCTAATTTTATATTATATTGCGGGGTTGTCAATGAAAAAAAGTTTTATTTGCTATAGCAATCTACTTCATTGCTGGTATGTCAAACTCACTCGAAAACTAAGGTCTACGCATATCATCGTGGTGAAATTCTACTACCAGTCTTTAATCATATTGACAAAATATGATGAATAAATTTATATATATAATCTACTGGTAGTCTCAGATATTTATTTATCAACTTAAAAAAATTAAGTCTCACATCTGGTATAGGCGAATTTTAGGTCTTCATATTAAAGCCTGAACTAACAGCTAGTTAGTGAAGTAAAGGAAAAGATTTTAATTAAATGTACAGTTGTTTATACATTTTATACGAGCCATCAATCAATTTCAATTAAACAGATTACGAAAAATCATAGTAAGCACAAGTAAAATAATACATATTACTATTAAATGTAGAATACTAAGGAATAAGTGAATCATAATTGTAATAGTATTAACAAAATGAGTTTATATAAGAGATAGCTCATATGATGATAAAGACATGAAATAAACCTGCTAGCTTCTACGTTCAAATTTTAATAATTTTTTAATAATTATTATATTATCACGTTTTTGCAAAGCCAGATTCAATAATAAAAATTTCAATAATCAAAAAGGCTCTCAAATAAGATAAGAAATGTATTTTTTTGTCTTCAAAGGTAAGCCACAAAGACAGAGTAGTAGCTACTTATATTGAGGCTTAAAGTAGTCCAAAAATTATGTGCATTGAAAGTGTAAACAGCCTTACCTTATTCTTTGAATCAATTATGCGGAGGCTATCCATCCATTTATGGGAAAGTATAGCTGGCTCAGCATAAGTAGATATGTCCTCCTCGCTAGAAGTTTGAAGACTGACCTCATTCTGATTGTTCCAGGAGTTTGTCGCGTTGTTGGAAACTCTTTCTGGATTTGGTACTTCATTTGAGCCATTAGAGTGCTGTAGTGAAGTATCTTCGTAATTTTGCCACTCCTGAGCTTGGATATTCGAGTCGTCGAAAGGAATCTGAGCATCCGTCGGTGGCAAACCAAAATATTGTTGCTCATTGCTCACTTCTGGTGTAGTTTCGATTTGTTCATTTAAAGGGGTCGATGAGGTGTTAGAATACTCTGTCTGAAAATCTATGTTAAGAGTTTGAGAATTGGCAGTAATGGGCAATGGTGAAGAAGTGAGATCAAGTACAGTGGAGGGTACGGATGGAAGGCTTGAGGCTGAAGGCACCTGGAACAGAGGATGATGCTCAGAAGATTCAGCTAAGGTTTGTTCCAAGCTTAAGAAATGGCTACAGGCCGTGTGAGTCCAATTTGATAGGATAATCTTGGCTGATGTGAATAATTGAGTGATGGGAACTAAATATAGAAATAATGAATTGTAGTTTCATGAAAACTTTGCTTGCAACTGAGAAAAGGTAAGATGAGGCAGATGTTTGTTAGATTTTATTATGTTTGATGAATATAAGGCTTTGAAAAAGTTTTCAAGCTAGGCCTGACTATAAGTTGAGAAAATGTTTTTTTGATACATATAAATCTAAAATAGCTTTGGTTTCATAAAACCGACAGTTATAATCATTTATTTCTCATACTTGAATGAAGGCATGATGATCCATAGATATGAGTTCTTAATAATTTATTAAGCATTTGTAAAATTAGGAAGTATTTTTGATGATTTTCTCATAATTAAGACTCCAAGAAGATAATTTTCACTATAAAACTGTTACAAATCATATTGAGAATGTTTTCTAGGCCAAATGACTATATATAAGGATTAAGTTCGAAAAATTCCCTTTGTATTTTCTTGCTTAGTTATTTACTTAATAAAATAATGAGATTCTCTAAGCAACAGTAATACGAGATCCTTTCAAGCCCTTCAGGCCTATATCTGCCTCTTTTGGTTATGCTGGATGCGCAAAGTATTCCTCTGTACGTTAAATTGTTGTTTTAAATGTTGCTTATTGTAGGTATCTCAATCAATCACTTGGAAGAAATAATCCCGAAATTGATGACTATGCGTTAAAGGCAGATTTTCTGCTCGAAAAGAAGTAAGAAATATATCACAGCATAGATATAATTTTATCGTAGCCACACTTAATAATTTATCGGAAAAAAGTCGGTTTTCGGACAAGTTTTAGTAGGGAGGAATTAACAGTTAATAAGCTTAAAAATATTGGTCCTCGCTCTGATTTTAAAATATTGTATAGAATTATTCAAGCTGAGATTGAAACAAATACTACATCTTAATACATTTGCCAGACGCAGGAACTAGATTACTATCCTGGGTGATCTAAATTCATGCGTTCTTGGCATTACTACTAATCATCTTATATAAGAAGAAACATGCCAGAAATAATGAAATTCAGTAGCAAAATAATTGTTAATAGTGGAGAAGTACGAATCAAATACCAAGAATCAGCTTCAAGGCATGCCTCATAAAACCTCTGCGCGGATACAGATTTTATTTGTATACAATCGACGCGTTGACGGGTCAATTATCGAATAAATTTGTATTTAAAACTTCACATCTTTTTTATTTAATTGTTTAGTTAATATAAGCAATTTCTACAACCAGTCCTTCGTCAGCTCAAACGAAATAGGGTGAATACATCTCATATAATATAAGATTAGGTTTCTGATAATTCTTTTTGTAATTCATGAAAAGTAGGTTAATTATCGCCCGTTTGTTGAATAACCGTTTTCATCCATCCTTATATAGTAGGACGTGTGCATATATTTTCTTTTGCCTCGGAAACGATGCGGTGGTATTAAAATGATAAGAAGATTCGAAATATAGCCATGCGATATTGTGGTTTGCAGAGTATATAGTTATTTTTAAAATGGGATATTAAAAGATTTTCGTCACTTAAAAAAGCTGAAAAACATCATTTTTTCTTGCTAAATAAATGAAAGAACAATTCAATTAATTTCACATAAAATGCTCATATTTTCTTTGTTAAAGAGTATTAAATCCAAATATGTAGAATCGAAGTAGCCCTGAGTCAAATTTATTGCAGACCTAAGTGCGTTGCTGACAATAGAGTTAAATTAGCTGCCTTTTTATAATAATAGATCAACTAAAGATCTAAGCAAAAATTATGATGAGTTTGAATAGAACAAAAGGCTGCAATTTTCCAGCTTAAATATTGTTTTCTTCATGAAACAAAGAATAAAATGGTATAACCAAAATAGACCTATAAATGTGTGGAATTAAATGTGGTATAAATTAAAATACTACTACGCCTAAAATAGAGGTATATCGTACCTTCCTTCTGCGAATTAGTCATCTAATGGAATACATATAAAAGAACAATATCCTGATATTATATCTGTTGCATAACTTCACAAAACTATATAAGTTTCCTAATTTTCTCTTTTCCATTTATTAATTTTTACCTTAGTGGGATATATGAGAGTTACTTAATTGACGAATATTAGACTTGTAGTGACCTATCCCCACAATTTTACCATTACTTGTTTAATTTTGTCACATCTCATACGTAGCCATGACCCAACTTTCTTTTGGCGCAGAGACCACGTGAATGCGTGACTAAACTTGTCTCTTTATTTCGCTT